AATGCTTTCTTTTAACTTTACATTGTTTTATACTAAAATTGTTACACATCTGTTAGGTGAGAGAGCTGGAAAGTGAGGTGGAGATAGAACAGAGAAAGGCCAGTGACTCGGTCAAGGGGATTCGTAAATATGAGAGACGTATCAAGGAGCTCACCTACCAGGTAGGAAAAATGTTGCCTACTAACAATTTTGCCCCTGATTGATTTGATCTTGTTATTTGTTGAAAATACATAAAGTGCTTGCAGCATTTTCCTGTATTTAAGTCTATCACATACTAAGTTTTTTTGCTTTGCATAGACTGAAGAAGACCGAAAGAATCTGGCTCGTCTGCAGGATCTGGTGGACAAACTCCAGCTGAAGGTCAAATCCTATAAGAGATCTGCTGAGGAGGCGGTGAGTATTACTAATGCCATCATATGATACAACTTCTGTAGTAATTGTATCTTTTAATTTTCACAAATGCTATTCTGTGTAAACTTTAGGAAGAACAAGCTAATGCCAATCTGGGCAAGTTCCGTAAGATACAGCATGAGCTGGATGAGGCAGAGGAGAGGGCTGATATTGCTGAATCTCAGGTCAACAAGCTGAGAGCCAAGAGTCGTGATACAGGATCCAAGGTAAGAGTAGGTACTTAAAACAAGTGATTTTGGTCACAAAAATAAAAACATCAGAAAATCCACAAATAAATGGTAACAGTTACATTGACTTGATAGGTCAAGATATGAATAGCAAGTAACGATACTTACTAGCAACAACTACACTTGATAAAATGCATTTTGCTATTTAAAAAGTGTGACTACTGTAAAAAAAAATAGGGCTGTGACTTACGATTATTTTGGTAATAGAGTAATCGGTATATAGTATTTTGAAAATTAATCTGCTTTTTTTTGTTAATAAAAATAGACCTAAGCAAATGCCTTTAAAATGACTCAAAATACAAATGTAATTCATTTATAAACCTACACCAACACAAGAGATGTAAATTAAAAATCTGATGTAATGGCACACATTGTGTTCCCAGATGAATGTTACAAGTAACCCCAACCCACAGAAATGGAGCTTACAATGCACTACACACATGTAAACGACAACAGTATATGTAGAGGACCATTTACTGGAGCCTCTCTGAGACACACGCAATCTGCACGCACGTAAATAATTAAAGCACATATACAATATATTAAGTCTGCAGGGAATTTGTGAATTTTGTAAATTCACAAAAGGAATATGCTGTAGTATCGTTTTTAAAAGGTTTTAATATATCATGCTGCCTTCGAAAATTGTCTAATAATGCAGATAATGGATTCTCATCCTTGGAATGCACCATTTACAGTATTTCGCTGGTCAAACGACACGGGTAAATTGAAATCGAGGATTTCTTTTAAAATTGAGTACACCAATTTAATCAAGGAATCATGACAGCCCTAAAAAAATACCATCCACGTTGATTAGCTGTGTAGAGTTTAAGCCATTTTGAACTTGATCAACTAAGCTTTAACATTCTGTTGACCTTTTCCTTTCTAACAGAAGGGGGCTGATGAGGAGTGAAAATATTAGATGGATCTCTCTAAACATGGATTGCTGTGATGATCTCTTCTGTAGTTCTGTAGAATAAACCAGACATGAAAATGAATAAATCATCCTCTTTTGTCTTTTTTTTTTTTAACACATTGCAATATCTCAACATGATCCTGAACACAACAGTAAATCAGTTGCCTGAAAGTACTCTATGTGCCACAGATTAGGCTGTCTAGTCTAAGATCTAGTCTAAAAGCATTTGAAGTAGGGTCAACCATACAAAGAAACCAATTTTATGTTTACCAGTTTTACCAAACTAATACAAACCACATAATGTAGGTAACGTTGTAAGCCACTGACTATTACACTGTATGTTTTAACACAGATCATCCTTTGAAGTGCATTGTATCTATTTTAATGCCTTGATCAAAGCCATTAAATTTTTTACAAATCTGTAAAATGCAGGGGAAAATTAAAGTACCATTTAATCATAGCCTACATAGACTATTACATCTCTATGGTGAAAGTGAATTATAATTTGAATTACAGTCAATATAAATTATGATTGTGAGCAGCCATCATCGTTAGTCCAAGAATTTACAGTTTAGCCCAATTCAGGAGAATCTTTTTCTCATCAATTATGTTGGTGTTACGGCCGAGAGGTCCCGGGTTCAGATCCCGGACGAGCCCCCATTTGTTACGGCCGACTCGTTACGGCCGCAACAATATAGGAAACCAACACGAGCGATCAATATAACCAACGTAGTTTATTGAATAAATCTAGGGGTTTCACAAAGTGCAATAAAGGCTGTTAAGCCATTAGGAGTCTTCCGAAGTGCCGACAGTCGTCCAAATCCATCTATCACCAAGAGCACAAGAGACGAACAGTGGATGATGTCATTTCCTACCTACCAAACAAGAAATAAAAACAAAACAAAACACACCCCCCATAACAGTTGGCAATATATTCATTCTAAACCTAAAGAAACCTCCACAATTCTCTGAATGTGAGAGCTGCAATAGTCAGTCACCGCCACTTGAGAGCACCACTACCATTAAATATCAAATAAAGCATACAGTACTTGCTCGGTGTCCATGCAAAGCAGGATGAGGCAAGTTGTCACAACGTTTAATTCCTTTAACTCAGTGTAGGTTTTATTCACAATTTTCACATAGTCTTCAAAAATCTATTTCCAACATTTCCATTGGTATTGCTCAGGAAAAACATTAACTGGTAAACCTTTAGCTATACATTACAATAGGGTTTAATTTGTTAATGCATTAAGATTTAAATACAATCTTTAACACTTACACACTAAATGCTTTATTTAAATACACTACTTACATTGTTAACTTGCTTGGAATGTTTGAAAAAAAAAAATTACATGCAGAACTTAACATTAATCTATGCTGCAAAACCATTGTTCGTTGTTAGATCATGTTAGCAAATGCATAAAAAAATGCATTGATGAACTTACCGTAACCTTACTGTAAAGTGTTACTAATTACACTAACAGTAACAAATGAAAAAAGACTGTATGTGAGAGAGTATACCATTTGATAACTCTCTCAATATTGATATGGATAATATTACATTAATAAATAATATTATATATACAAAAAAAATAATATTACTAAGAATTGCACCTACTCTAGCTTTTAAATAAACATTTTGGTAGCAAACGCAGCTAAATGGTCTGAAGCAGAAGTAGATATACAATGGAATCCTATTTAGCCCAACAGATGCAAGCTCATTCTAGTGCACCCAGTGACAAAAGAAAGCTAAAGGATTACAAAAGGATTACAATCTTTATTAGAAATAAGGTTGCCCCCATTTCTTCCATTCTTGCTCCTGAGATTTGATAGACAAGGGTAAAAAGACAGCTGAGAATGAGGCTCTGTAAAGGATGAGGGGCCTAGAATAGATTGCCCAATTGCTAAGTCTAAAAAGGTGCGTTTTGACAAGAGGTCAAGGCAGGTTAGAAACCTCACAAAAGGTCTTAAATGATGGCTCACACGGCTGCCCCAAAAAAATTAATGCTATAGAGCTGACAATACATTAACGGTGTTTAGAAACAGATCTGGGGCTAAGACAGTTAGTCTGATATGCTTGCCATGTTCTTTCTGTTAAGAAGGAATAATTATAAGCATCTTCGTTTTAACTGATGCACAGAAAAAGTAACACTGATGTAATGTATTCAGAATATACTAACTTCTGTAAACATACAAATTACAATTTGTATACTACAGAATACTTTGATGGATTTGTTTTGTGAATTTTTGTAAAGCTGTAAAATCTTTTTCAAGAATGATTGGGGTGAACATGGATGAACATGAATGGAAGCTGTTGTTAATATAATGACTGCAAATGAACTTAATACAACCTGTAAAACTAAGATGAAGGATGTAGCATTGGAAAATCAAGAAAGGTCAAAGCACCAAACAATAACAAGCAAGAGTTGCAGCTGTCTCTGAATTAAGCGAGAACAAAAGGTCACAATTGCAGATCTTCATTGTTCCCATTACAGCTGTCTACTGACAATTTTAATCTTCCGTGACAGCCGTCTTGCTTGCATTGTTACCTTGTTTTCATCCTTTAGCACAAAGATAAACCTGTGGAATTCCCAGTGCATGCCTGTCTCTCTTTGAGGACAGAAAAGCTGGAATATAACTGTCCAATATGCAATTTAATTTAAAAAGGATTATGTGAAAGTTCAACATTTTAGATAGAAGAGTCTCTATGATGCTTTACGTACATGAAAAACAGACATGTTGTGAATATGGCCTATGAAACTAACTACAAAATATGAAAGTGAAGTTGTATTTCAGTATAAAAACTTAGTAAAGATCTCATATCTATAAAAAAATAACAACATTGTGATCTTAGATCCTTTCTGATCTTTTGCACTAGCGCCACAAACCACATGCTAAACTATTGTGACTCATCTAATCTTTAGCGCTATCATCACACACCACATGCTAAACTACTATGACTCACACAAATATTTTTTCAGGCACCCCAAAAGAGCTACACACACACAAGTGACCAGGATAATGACCAAATACAGATGGTCAACGTCACACTCATTGTTCCCTATATAAAGAGATAAGTTACAGCACAATATTGCAAGCTCACATCATTGTGCCATCTAAAGGTAAGAGCACACATCATTTATATTAAATTGTTTATGAGGACTGAACAATAGAATAAGATGACTTCTCATTAATGAAGTTTCTTTTTTCTTGAAAGGACTTGGACAGTTTTGGATTTCATCTGGTAAGACATGCTTATATAAATTTTAACACGTGTGCATGTGTATGTATTTATGTTTATGCAATATTTTCTTTTTGAATACAATAATTATTGAGAAATATTGTACATTTTTATATTCATAAATAATTATATTTAATTCATATTTATATATATTTTTAATTGTAAACCGGTTGTAAAAGTTCAGAGAATTTTGTCATCTATTTCTCAGTCTGATTGAAAGATGGGGGATGCTGTGATGGCAGAGTTCGGGCCAGCCGCCCCGTTCTTACGAAAGTCAGACAGGGAGCGTCTGGAGGCCCAAACTCGCCCCTTCGACATGAAGAAGGAATGCTTTGTGCCCGACCCTGAGGTTGAGTTCGTCAAAGCCTCCATCACCAGTAGAGACGGTGACAAAGTCACTGTTGACACTGAATTCGGGAAGGTAAGATCTAATCTCTGCAGTGTTGTGGATTGCAGACAGAAGTAGCGAGTGACTGTCAAAACATTTTTGTTATCCACAGACAGTTACTGTGAAGGAGGTTGATGTTCACCCCCAGAACCCGCCAAAGTTCGATAAAATTGAGGACATGGCGATGTTCACCTTCCTGCACGAGCCCGCAGTGCTGTTTAACCTCAAAGAGCGTTACGCAGCCTGGATGATCTACGTGAGTCGAGTCTAAAAACACTCACATGTTCTCTTTATCTTGCATGAGTAGATCTAAACCTTCTGTGAATCTCTCACAGACCTACTCTGGGCTCTTCTGTGTCACTGTGAACCCCTACAAGTGGCTGCCAGTGTACAACCAGGAAGTTGTGAATGCATATAGAGGAAAGAAACGAACTGAGGCCCCTCCACACATCTTCTCCATCTCAGACAATGCCTACCAGTACATGCTGTCAGGTGATGATCTGACTTCTTATTTTTTTGGATTTTTGAAATGAAATTTCAATTGGTAAGTTTCTTATGTTTCATTTTCTCACAGACAGAGAAAACCAGTCTGTCCTGATCACGTATGTATTATGTCGTAGCATAATATTCCTCCTTTCACTAATATTTTCTTTCAATGCTGTATTTTAATTACTGTTTTTATCCTAAGTGGAGAATCTGGTGCTGGAAAGACTGTGAACACTAAAAGAGTAATCCAGTACTTTGCGAGCATTGCAGCAGCAACAACCGGCAAGAAGGATCAATCAATGGAGAAAAAGGTGCGTAATTTCCCCAAAAATGGCTCATCATGGAAGAATGAAAATACCTACTATATGGCATTTACAAAATAATTACTAAATTAAAGATGTCTTCAAAATTGGAGTTAAATATTATTAAAAACATTGGAGTCAAAAATTGTCATAATTTATTACTCCCTTACTTGGACCATATTGCAATGCATTTACAGGTAACAAACTACATGTTTGTCCCAAATATATTTCTAAATAATCTGATAGATGTGACTTAGGTTCTCTAAGGATTATTATTATTATTACAAGACTACATAGCGTTTGAAAATATGCATGGCAGTTAACTGAAAAGAAGGTACATCAAATGTTTACACACCTATTGTTAAAATATGATTCTCAGGGTACTCTGGAGGATCAAATCATCCAGTGTAATCCTGCTCTGGAGGCTTTCGGTAACGCCAAGACCATCAGAAATGACAACTCCTCCAGATTTGTAAGTTGGGTTTTTACATTAGTGTTGTGATTCTATATTGTTTTTTTCATGATATGTTATATGAGCGTGTTGCATTATTCACAGGGTAAATTCATCCGCATCCACTTTGGCCACAGTGGAAAGTTATCTTCTGCTGACATTGAGACTTGTAAGTATTGCCCAACATCATTCCAACGTAACTGTTTTGATATTGATCTATTCATCAAATCATTTAGATCTGCTGGAGAAGTCTCGTGTCACTTTTCAGCTCAAGGCTGAGAGAGACTACCACATCTTCTATCAGATTCTGTCCCAGAGAAGACCAGAACTGCTGGGTAAAATTACCCATCATATCATTTAATACTGCCACCTCTATTTAGAAGAATATTTTCTGAACTATGTTGCCATTTCTCCGTAGAGATGCTGCTCATCACCAACAACCCCTATGATTACGCCTTCATCTCCCAAGGAGAAACACAAGTGGCTTCTATTAATGACGGTGACGAGCTGATGGCCACTGATGTGGGTGTTTGTTAAAACATAAGCTGTTCAAAATACAAGACACCAAATATTATAAAATATTATAAGAAATAGTCCATGAAGCATTTGCAATTTAATTACCATTAGCACTTTTGACAACCTGTATGACTATATTTTTGGTGTAAAACATAAATTAATAATCTCTTGGTTGATTTCCATACTTTAAAAGCCTATAGTGATCAGGGGCTGTCAATAAGTATTAAAAAGTACCATAAAAGATCCACAAAACTTGGAATTTCTGTGAGGAAAATATCACCAACATGCCATACTTTTGTGTTCGACATAAGGAATTAAGTCATACGGGTATAGAACGACTTGAAAGAAAATTGATTCTCTCGGCCAGTCTATTCTTTAAAAAGAAAGACTATTAATGCACTAGTCAAAATTAGAATATGAAACATTTGCCTTAATATTTTAAATGCTCTGTTCATTTGTTATAGGAAGCGTTCGATGTGTTGGGCTTCACCCATGAGGAAAAGAACAGCATCTACAAGCTGACTGGTTCTGTCATGCACTTCGGCAACATGAAGTTCAAGCAGAAGCAAAGAGAGGAACAGGCCGAGGCTGATGGGACTGAGGGTCAGTATAACTCAGAAAAATGAAATCAGTAGAACTTGGAAACATGTTGTATATAGAGTCATAACTCTGTATTCTTTTTAACATGTAGAAGCTGACAAAATCTCATATCTGATGGGCCTAAATTCAGCTGACCTGATCAAGGGTTTGCTCCACCCAAGAGTCAAAGTAGGAAATGAGTGGGTCACCAAGGGACAGAGTGTCCAGCAGGTAATGAATGAAAATAATAATCTAATGGACATTTACATTTTTCAACATCATAACTTCACTTTCAAAGACATACAAACAAAATCTTTCATGTATCTGAAAAATCGCTTTCTATTTTGCAATGTGACAAATTCTGCAAAATTCAATATTTTCTATATTAGGTGTACTACTCTATTGGTGCTCTGGCAAAGTCAGTGTATGAGAAGATGTTTCTTTGGATGGTTGTGAGAATCAACCAATCCCTGGCCACCAAACAGCCTCGCCAGTACTTCATTGGTGTGCTGGACATTGCTGGATTTGAGATCTTTGATGTAAGTGGAAATCAACAGATTTTTTTTTTATTCAAGAACAAATTCAACAAGAAGTACAATCTGTTTGACCATTGTGATTATATGTTATATTCCACCTGCAGTCCAACACCTTTGAGCAGCTGTGCATCAACTTCACTAATGAGAAGTTGCAGCAGTTCTTCAACCACCACATGTTTGTGCTGGAGCAAGAGGAATACAAGAAGGAGGGCATTGAGTGGGTTTTTATTGACTTTGGCATGGACCTGCAGGCTTGTATTGAGCTTATTGAAAAGGTGGGTATATATCATGTTGATGATTACACTGTGAGGGGAAAAATCACATTTTTTGGTTTTAACTCTTGTGGTAAATTGATATATTGACTGCCACGATCTACAATTCATTTTAGCCCATGGGTATCATGTCCATCCTTGAAGAGGAGTGCATGTTTCCCAAAGCCAGTGATGCAACGTTTAAAGCTAAGCTTTATGACAATCATATGGGGAAAACTCCAAACTTCCAGAAGCCTAGGATTGTCAAGGGTAAACCAGAGGCTCATTTTGCCCTCGTTCACTATGCTGGTACTGTGGACTACAACATTGCAAACTGGCTGGTAAAGAACAAAGACCCTCTCAATGAGACGGTTGTAGGGTTTTTCCAGAAGTCAACTCTTAAGCTGTTGTCCATTCTGTTTGCTAATTACGCTACTGATGACTCAGGTAAGTACACACTGACGTGTGTCGTGAAAATATAATAGGCACTACTTTTACGGTTTAATAATAACAAAAATATTTATTTCACAGCTACAGATTCTGGAGGAAAGGCTGCCAAAGGCAGCAAAAAGAAGGGTTCTTCCTTCCAGACGGTGTCAGCCCTTCATAGGGTATGAAATATTAAAACACGGCTTTATCTCACACGGTTTTATTGCATTTAAATCTGAATCATTTGTGGTCTAACAACAGGAGAACTTGAACAAGCTGATGACCAACTTGAGGTCAACTCACCCTCACTTTGTGCGCTGCCTCATCCCCAATGAGACCAAGACTCCTGGGGCGATGGAGAATCCTCTGGTCATGCACCAGCTGCGCTGTAACGGTGTGCTGGAGGGCATCAGGATCTGCAGGAAGGGATTCCCCAACAGGGTCCTGTATGGAGATTTCAAACAACGGTTAGTATGAAGGCAAATGGCTTTCATTTCTTACATAATTATTTAATGTATGACTCTAAATTTAATTGTACCTTGTTTAACTTTAATGTAAGCATTTGCTAGAAATAAAATCAAATAAATATAGAAATAATTGTTAATGTGTGTTGCTTTTTTGGTAGATACCGCATCCTAAATCCTGCTGCTATCCCTGAGGGACAGTTCATTGATAACAAGAAGGGTTCAGAAAAACTTCTGGGCTCTCTGGACATCGATCACAACCAGTACAAGTTAGGGCATACTAAGGTATTATTATATTGACATTAACTTTTTAACCATTAATCAAAACCACGTTTCCATTCTCATCCTGTTTGATGCAAAAAATGTTTCTATTCAGGTGTTTTTTAAGGCTGGTCTTTTGGGAACTCTTGAAGAAATGCGAGATGACCGTCTTGCACTTATTATAACTGGAATTCAGTCCATGTCTCGTGGTTTTCTATCAAGAGATGAGTTCAAGAAAATTGTGGAAAGAAGGTTTGATTCTAGCTCTTTGATCTTTAATGTATTTTCCAAGTTACATTTTATAATTTAAGACATAAATTTTAATTTTATTAATTTTAGTTATTTTTTAATATCCAAAGAGACTCTCTGTTGGTGATTCAGTGGAACGTACGTGCTTTCATGGGTGTCAAGAATTGGCCCTGGATGAAGCTCTACTTTAAGATCAAGCCTCTGTTGAAAAGTGCAGAGACTGAGAAAGAAATGGCCAACATGAAGGAGGAATTCACCAAGTTGAAGGAAGCTTATGCCAAATCTGAAGCCCGCAGAAAGGAGCTTGAGGAAAAGATGGTTTCTCTTATCCAAGAGAAGAACGACCTGCAGCTATTAGCACAGTCTGTAAGTTCACATGAGACTACAACTCTGGACTTTTCACAAGTCACAAAACAAAAAAAAGGTTTTCAATTATTATTATTTTCATGTTGATAGGAGCAAGATAATCTTGTAGATGCTGAGGAGAGATGTGAGGGTCTGATCAAGAGCAAGATCCAGCTTGAGGCCAAAGTCAAAGAAATGACTGAGAGACTGGAGGATGAAGATGAAATGAATGCTGAGCTGACTGCAAAGAAACGAAAGCTGGAGGATGAATGCTCTGAGCTCAAGAAGGACATTGATGATCTTGAACTCACTCTGGCCAAAGTGGAGAAAGAGAAACATGCCACTGAGAATAAGGTCAGTTTTCAGCACTGAACCTGATAGTGATGCTATAATGGTGAGTTAAGATTCCCTTGATGCAATAACACATTTCTACAGGTTAAAAACATGATAGAAGAGATGGCAGCTTTGGATGAAATCATCGCTAAGCTGACCAAGGAGAAGAAAGCTCTTCAGGAGGCCCATCAGCAAACGCTGGATGACCTCCAGAGTGAGGAAGACAAAGTCAACACACTCACCAAAGCCAAAGCCAAGCTGGAGCAACAAGTGGATGATGTAAGAGTCAGAAAACACAATACTATAATTAAAATGAGAAACATTTAAAGTAATTACGCAATAATTTTTATATTTGTTTTGCATGATATTTAGCTTGAAGGTTCTTTAGAACAAGAAAAGAAAATCCGCATGGATCTTGAGAGAGCTAAAAGAAAGCTTGAGGGGGACTTGAAGTTGACTCAAGAGAATGTGATGGATTTGGAAAATGACAAGCAGCAGACGGAGGAGCGGCTAAAGAAGTAATATATTTTATAAAATATACAAACCAATTTTAATATTAAAAGATATTTGGTAACACTTTACAATAGGTTCCAGTTTACTTTAGTTAACATGAACTAATAATGAAATGTACTTCTAAGCATGTATTAATCTTACTTCATGTAAATTTAAACATTCACTAACAAATTATTAAGCTTCATTGCAGACACAAGCTAACAATGAAAAGTTTTCTTTTTATCAATAAATCTCAACAAAGTTTAATAGATACTGTAACAAATGTTTTGTTAATTGTTAAGTTAATGTTGTTTAATGCATTATCTAACATTAACTAATGGAACCTTAATTTAAAGTGTTGCCAGATATTTTTAATGTGAAATTGTATGTAATCATTCATCCTGTTTAATTGGCAGAAAAGACTTTGAAATAAGCCAGCTCAACAGCAAGATTGAAGACGGACAAGCTTTGGAGTCCCAACTCCAGAAAAAACTGAAAGAGTTGCAGGTAAACTTTGTATGTTTTAATAAGATAGAAAGTTGGATTGTTAGAAAATTTAACCTTAATTGTTAATTTATGCACATTACTAGGCCCGAATTGAAGAGCTTGAGGAAGAGCTGGAGGCTGAGAGAGCTGCTCGCGCCAAAGTTGAGAAACAGAGAGCTGATCTGTCCAGAGAATTGGAGGAGATCAGTGAGAGGTTAGAGGAGGCTGGTGGAGCCACTGTTTCTCAGATTGAGATGAACAAGAAACGTGAAGCTGAGTTCCAGAAACTGCGCAGAGACCTTGAAGAGTCCACTCTGCAACATGAGTCCACTGCGGCTACACTGAGGAAGAAACACGCAGACAGTGTGGCTGATCTGGGGGAGCAGATTGACAACCTCCAGAGAGTGAAGCAGAAGCTGGAGAAAGAGAAGAGTGAACTCAAACTGGAACTGGACGATGTGGTCTCCAGCATGGAGCAGCTTGCAAAGGCAAAGGTGAGTGAGAGAAATTATACTTAGAGTCTATAAATTATGTTTTGTCAGTGAAAGTAAGCAAACAAATATGATACAATTTATCCTCAAGACAAACCTGGAGAAAATGTGCAGGACTCTGGAAGACCAGATGAGTGAGTACAGAACCAAGGCTGAGGAAGGTCAGCGCACAATCAATGATTTTGCATTGCAAAAATCCAAGCTGCAAACTGAAAATGGTAAGAACACAAAATAGTTTGTTTTGTTACCAATTGTACCAAAACGATACTTTGGAAAAAGTCAATATTTTTTAATGTTGCATTTTAGGTGAACTTGCCAGACAGTTTGAGGAGAAAAACTCCCTGGTGACTCAGTTAACCAGAGGCAAACAATCCAACACTCAGCAAATTGAAGACCTCAAGAGACAGCTCGAAGAAGAAGTCAAGGTTTTCAAAATCTCATTCAATGTCTAAAAATTTAGCTAAAATCCACTATTGTAATAAACAACTGCCCCCAAACATTTGCTTGGCTTTAGGCTAAGAATGCCCTGGCCCATGCAGTTCAGTCTGCTCGTCATGATGCTGATCTGTTGAGGGAGCAATATGAGGAGGAGCAAGAAGCCAAGGCTGAGCTACAGCGTGGTATGTCCAAGGCAAACTCTGAAGTGGCTCAGTGGAGAACCAAGTATGAAACTGATGCCATCCAGAGGACTGAGGAGCTGGAGGAAGCAAAGTAAGAAACAAATAACAATTAAAAGTTTTGTTTTTAGTGATTAGACACTTTTCTAAAATGTATGCTAAAAGTTGTGGCCTATAACACATTTAAATACAGTTTAATGAATAATGCTTCTGATGTTCACTATATTTTGTAATTTGATTACGACAGGAAAAAGCTGACTCAGCGTCTGCAAGATGCAGAAGAAGCTGTGGAAGCTGTCAATGCTAAATGCTCCTCTCTAGAGAAGACCAAGCACAGGCTGCAGAATGAGATTGAAGATCTCATGGTGGATGTGGAGAGATCCAATGCTGCTGCTGCTGCTCTGGACAAGAAGCAAAGAAACTTTGATAAAGTAAGGAGAGAAAGTACATTTTGTCATTAGCTGGAAAAATCAGCCATGAAAAATGTTACAATATAAAATATCAAGTAGCATCGAAAATGTTCAATGTTACATTGATAGTAAAAGCAACTTTCTAACTATGGATTGGCACTAGTACTTTAGGGTATATTCGTTACCACTAAATCATTTGACCAAAACATCTCATTGGTTATTTTGACCTTGTTAAATTTAACCAGGTCCTGGCTGAGTGGAAGCAGAAGTATGAGGAGTCCCAAACGGAACTGGAAAGTGCCCAAAAGGAAGCTAGATCTCTGAGCACTGAACTCTTTAAATTGAAAAACTCGTATGAGGAGTCATTGGACCACCTGGAGTGCATGAAGAGAGAAAACAAGAATCTCCAAGGTAAGAGTGGTTTTACAACTCCAAACCATTTCTTCAAATGCTTGTATTTGTGAGCTCACATGTTATTTCTATTGCCCAGAGGAAATTTCTGACCTCACTGAGCAACTTGGTGAGAGTGGGAAGAATATTCATGAGCTGGAGAAACTACGAAAACAACTGGAGCAGGAGAAACAAGAGATACAAACTGCTCTCGAAGAGGCTGAGGTAAAAGAACATCCATTTCCCCCAAAGTTCTTATTCTGACAACTCTTTGATTTAAATCAAGCTTTTGTTTAAAGCAATTGATCATTCCAGATTATTTTAAGGGAGGTAACCCCCCCCCCCCCCAAAAAACAAAACAAAAACAACAACACATGGCTAAACAAAAACGTTAAATCTCAATTATAACAAACACCCATTTTACTCTTCATAGGGTTCCCTTGAACACGAGGAAGGCAAGATACTTAGAGCTCAGCTGGAGTTCAATCAGGTCAAAGCTGATATTGAACGTAAGCTGACAGAGAAAGATGAAGAGATGGAGCAAACCAAGAGGAACTTGCAGAGAATGGTGGATACCCTGCAAAGCTCACTGGAATCAGAGACTCGCAGCAGGAATGAAGCTCTCAGACTGAAGAAGAAGATGGAGGGAGACCTCAATGAGATGGAGATTCAGCTCAGCCAGGCTAACAGACAGGCATCAGAAGCCCAGAAGCAACTCAAGGGTCTTCATGGACATCTCAAAGTATGACAAATCTTCAAATCAAGATGTTATGATGCTTTGGTTAGATCCAACATAGTTCTTCAGTCTTTTTATTTGTAAAATTTGTACTTTACAGGATGCCCAACTGCAACAAGATGAAGCTCTTCGTAGTAATGATGATCTCAAAGAGAACATTGCCATTGTGGAGAGACGCAACAATCTGCAGCAGGCTGAACTGGATGAGCTGAGATCCCTGGTGGAACAAACTGAGAGAGGAAGGAAACTGGCTGAGCAGGAACTGCTGGATGTCAGTGAGAGAGTTCAGCTCCTACATTCTCAGGTATGACACATCTGTACTAATACTATGCAAAATAAATCCTCTTAGTAAACAATGTTATCAAAAGACAATGTCAATATTGTCCATGTTCAGAACACCAGCCTGCTGAATCAGAAGAAGAAGCTGGAGGGGGATAATACTCAGCTTCAGACTGAGGTTGAGGAGGCAGTGCAGGAGAACAGGAATGCCGAGGAAAAAGCCAAGAAGGCCATCACTGATGCTGCCATGATGGCAGAGGAGCTGAAGAAGGAGCAGGACACCAGTGCTCATCTGGAGCGCATGAAGAAGAACATGGAGCAGACCATCAAGGACCTGCAGCACCGTCTGGATGAGGCTGAGCAGATCGCCATGAAGGGAGGCAAGAAGCAGGTCCAGAAACTGGAGGCCAGGGTAAGGTGCTGATGTTTTTAGGAACAAGTACAGTTTTCTGCTAAATGCTTTATTTTAACTTAACATTGTTTTATACTAAAATTGTTACACAACTGTTAGGTGAGAGAGCTGGAAAGTGAGGTGGAGATAGAACAGAGAAAGGCCAGTGACTCCATCAAGGGGATTCGTAAATATGAGAGACGTATCAAGGAGCTCACCTACCAGGTAGGAAAAATGTTGCCTAATAAAGAATTTCCCCCTGATTAATTTGATCATGTTATTTATTTAAAAAACAAAGTGCTGTATTACAGTATTTAACTGTATATTGTATATACTAAAACATTTTTGCTTTGCATAGACTGAGGAAGACCGTAAGAATCTGGCTCGCCTGCAGGATCTGGTGGACAAACTCCAGCTGAAGGTCAAATCCTACAAGAGATCTGTTGAGGATGCGGTGAGTATTTCCCCCAGTGGTGCCATCAAATGATACGACTTCTGTAATTGTATCTTTAGATTTTCACAAATGATGTTTAATCTTTAGGAAGAACAAGCTAATGCCAATCTGGGCAAGTTCCGTAAGATACAGCATGAGCTGGATGAGGCAGAGGAGAGGGCGGATATTGCTGAATCTCAGGTCAACAAGCTGAGAGCCAAGAGCCGTGATACTGGATCCAAGGTAAGAGTAGGCAATTAAAATAAGTGATTTTGGTCACAAAAATAAAAATCTCAGAAAAGCCACAAATAAATAGTCATAGTTAAGTCGACTGGATAGTTCAACTCTATATCTCCACTTTTTAGGTTGTGTTCACATTTGGCATGTTTGGTTTGATTAAAACGAACTCTGGTGCAATTGCTCTGTTAGTGCGGTTAATTTAAATAAGTGTGAATGCTACCATTCGAACCCTGGAGTGCATCAAACAAGCGGGCCGAGACCGCTGAAAAGATGGGTCTTGGTCCGATTCCAAACAAACTGAATGCAACACAGACCAAAGGCAAGTAAACAAACCAACAATAGGAAGATAAGAACCTAAAAAGGACAGAATCCTGACACATAAATGTTTTTTCTTGTTATAGTTGTGATGCTGCCATCACAGTTCGGTAAAGGCATCAGAACTGCCTCCTAGCAGCAGATCTTCGTTTGTGTAGCAGATCTTCCGCTGTTCTGACTCCATTTGAAACACATTTTATAAGCTCTTCACAAATTGTCAGCTGGTCAAAATACCATCATATTGTAGGCTATTCAATATACAACGAGCGCATTTGCCCAGCACACAGCATTGTTTTGAATGTTCGCTACGTTCGTCACAGAATAGGCAACACAAGATAACAGCCGACCAATCAGGTTGTGCACATATCCCTATGCCTTTAGGTTCTGTATCTTTAGGTTTGGAGTTAAAAATGCCAATCTGAATGCTAATGCTAAGAACTAAATGTTTTTTTTTTGTTTTTTTATGGTCCGGACCAAAAGAACCAAGCAAACCGAACTAGCGTGAACACACCCTTAGTGACTTTATGATATGATTAGCAAGAAGTTTCAAGAACTTCACTTGATGAAATGCATTTTACTATTTAACAAGTGTGGCTATTGAACAAACAAACAAACATCCATATTGATTAGCGGTGTAGAGTTTAAGCCATTTTCAACGGGATCAGCTTACCTTTAACATTTTTTCCTTTTTCTTCCAAACAGAAGGGGGCCGACGAAGAGTGAAAATATTAGATGGGTCTCTCTAAACATTGATTGCTGTGACAATCTCTTCTGTAGTTCTGTAGAATAAACCAGACATGAAAATGAATACCTCATCCTCTTCTTTTAAACAATCTAGACATTGCAATATCTCAACATGATCCTGAACACAACAGTAAATCAGTTGCCTGAATGTCCTCTATGTGCCACAGGCTGTCTAGTTTAAGATCTTATTCAAACTCAAAATGTTTTTAAATTGTCATTTGAAGTAAGGTCAACCATACAAAGATACAGGGTGTTTACTAGTTTTACCAAACTAATACAAACCAGGTAATGCAGCTAAAGCTGTAAGCCACTGACAATTATGATGTATGTTTTCCAGCAGCACTTTGCCCATAGAGGGCGCCGACCTGCCTGCCTTTTTTTTTTTAATAATGTCTTTTTTACTTTAGAATGTGTTCTCTCCAGAATGATATTTGCATGCACTTTCAACGTCGTTACGTTTATCACGTTGGTGTAGTAGTAGCCAATAGGCTGCCTTCTCTGGGCTCTAGCTCACTTAGCCCTACAGTGCTGGAATTTAAGCCAATGGTTCCCTGGTTGATACGCAAAAAAGGCTAAAAGTATTATTACACTGTATTCAGCACAAACTCTGCTACAATAATATGTCAGTAGTGCGTATGTAAAATTTTTTAGTTTTGAGATAATGACGTTTATGCGTGGTTAGTGAAAAAAAATTGTCACTGAAATAAGGTCATAAAACCCATACTGAGAATAACTAAGCCTTATTTATATATCATGCTGTGTTTAGTATCAAAGATAAAAACAATCTCATTTCTCACAACTCAATCTCACAACTCCAATCTCATTTTATAACATTTTAGTCTGGTACCAGTTTAACTAGTAGCTACAATGTAAAGTAGGCTATATACAACCATAAGATGTCTTACCTTAAAAACTTCCAAACTCGACGAAAAGCAGAGTCGCTGATTCTTTGTTTAGAGGTGATGAGGGTGGTAACAGCTGTGCGTTCCTCCGCGTGGATCATTTGAATTTGAACAGCTCGCGCGCGCATGTGTGTGGGCGTGATCGCATTAGCGCTAATCAGCTCGGACTGGAGAAACTAAACATGTCGTTGCTTTCATACGGATGAACTTCAAATTGAGAGAGAAGGGAGAAGGCGCATCATGTTTATTACATTTTGTTTTTATTATTAGTGTACACAAATAAAAGTAGACATTTAACAGTTTTGATTGATGTATAACACTTGACTGTATCACAAAAATCGACAGTTATTTGAGTCTCTTTTGCACTAATAAGAAAAAAAGAGAGAATCACGTCGGTGTGATTCTCGACCCCAGGGGGTTAATTTCATCATGTGTGTAGGCTACTTCTAACATGTTTGGTTGGTAGAATAAATATGTTTTAAATTCAAATCATGATCGTCTTCCGTGTCTGAAATGGATGTATTCTTGTGTCTATAAGGTAACAATAATATAATAAAATAACTTTTGAATTAAGTTTGAACAAAATTTTAATAAAAGAATAAAATTTTGGTTTAGTCTATACTACTAGGTACTTATACTATATTGACTGGGTTAAATAGAGTTGCATTACTAAAAAGATACTAAAATACACGTTTCATTGACTAAAATACACTTTTCATTGACTAAAATAGACTTTTCATTGACTAAAACTAGACTATGTCTTTTGTCGACTAAAACTAGACTAAAATGTCATCAGTTGTTGTAGACTAAAATTAGACTAGACTAAAAAGAATATGAATCCTTACCTTTAAAATATGTATGATAAAATGTACTTTTAAAAATATACTTTTTAAAAAGAAAGATTACACTTGAAATATTATTAAAATTGCAACTTTTTTAGAGGATACATATTCCAAAACTATATGAAAGTACAGTATGAAATTTAACTATTTAATTAACTGTTTACCTTAGATATTATAGAATTTGCATGCATACAAAAATTTGTGGAAAAAGACCACTTTTTTTCAAAAACGTTTCCAACTCTAACTTTGAACCAATTCTATAGAATACACACACACACATCCATCCATCTTCTTCCGTTTATCCGGGGCCGGGTCACGGGGGCAGCGGTCTAAGCAGAGATGCCCAGACTTCCCTCTCCCTAGACACTTCCTCCAGCTCTTCGAGGGGGACACCGAGGCGTTTCCAGGCCTGCTGGGAGACATAGTTTCTCAAGTGTGTCCTAGGTCTTCCGAGGGGTCTCCTCTCCCGAAACATCTTCCCGTGAGGGCATCAAGGAGGCATCCGGAACAGATGCCCGAGCCACCTCAGCTGACCCCTCTCGATGTGAAGGAGCAGCGGCTCTACTCTGAGCTCCTCCTGAGTGACCGAGCTTCTCACCCTATCTCTAAGGGATCGCCCAGCCACCCTGCGGAGAAAGCTCATTTCGGCCGCCTGTATCTGGGATCTTGTCCTTTCAGCCATGACCCAAAGCTCATGACCATAGGTGAGAGTAGGAATGTAGATAGACCGGTAAATCGAGAGCTTTGCCTTACGGCTCAGCTCGTTCTTCACCACAACAGACCGGTACATTGACCGCATTACTGCTGAAGCTGCACCGATCCATCTGTCAATCTCTCGTTCCATCCTTCCCTCACTCGTGAACAAACCCCTAAGATACTTAAACTCCTCCACTTGAGAAAGGATCTCTCCACCAACCTGAAGTGGGCAAGCCACCCTTTTTCGACTGAGGACCATGGCCTCGGATTTGAAGGTGCTGATTTTCATTCCAGCCACTTCACACTCGGCTGCAAACCGTCACAGTGCATGCTGAAGATCCTAGTCTGAAGAGGCCAACACAACAACATCATCCGCAAAGAGCAGAGATGAAATCGTGTGGTCCCCAAACCTGACACCCTCCAGCCCCTGGCTGCGCCTAGAAGTTCTGTCCATAAAATCATGAACAGAACCGGCGACAAAGTGCAGCCCTGCCGGAGTCCAACATGCACCGGGAAGAAGTCTGACTTGCTGCCGGAAATGCGAACCTGCCGAAGGCAGGAGCGTTGTTCTCACATAATATATATATATATATATATATATATATATATACACACACACACACACACATATATATTCATTGTACAGAATTGGTTAAAAGTTCGATTTTGAAACAGCTTGATAATGCATAAACAAATGTATAAATGAACTGAGCCATATTGCAACGTGTTAGTAACTACTGAATTTGATCTTAATGTATGCATGTCAGTGTCTACTATATTCACTTATAATTACACTATTCACCCTTTCATTACCCCTTAAACCACCCTTAAAAATACCCATACCACCAAATCTGTCCCTAAGTTTACCTGTATCTACCTCAATAACAGCAAATGTGTTTTGGGTAGCACTTTATTTTACAGTCCTTTTCTGCATGTACGTACTATTTATTTATTGTAGCAATTACAATAACTGGGTTACAACTAGGTTCTAACCCTGAACATTCACCTTAACCTAACCTTAACCCATGTAGTCACCATATATTATTTTACCAGTTATGGTTCTCACAAATTATGACCATAAGATTAATTCAATATTCATGAAATATGGTGTTTGAAACATTTTTCCTGTCAATTACAACGCTTAGCAACTACAAATTAAAAAGAAAAAGCATCGCTCTGCATTACCTTCATCTGTGCTTCAGATATGAGTTGGATCTTCTCCTGCAGGGAGCACAGTGTTTGTGTGTGGGTGAGATGGCAAAAACCAGGGACAGAAGAGTCATGCTAATTTGCCTAAAGGAAGCACATAATGTATTCTTATGGAGAACAATCAAAGTCAGATAGATAAAGAGGTACAGGATGCAAATAGTAATACCTGTATTCTCTGTCTCCATGATCCATCTGGCTCGAACAAGGGATAAAGAAGAAATGACAAGCAACTCAATCCAAGGAGCAAAAGCATCATGTCACGTCCGTTGGACACTTGTCCAAGTGAATCAAACAGACCTCCCTTAGTCTCCATTAATAGCCTCCTTAATGGTCATGGATACATAATGGGTCAAGTTATTGACCCTTTGGTGATCTGAGACAACAAAGGGCCTAAATAGCTGAGAATGAACTACATCCGTCTCAGTGAATAGGAACAGGAATGTTCCACCTCGTCATAGCAAGAGATGAACTTTTATATACCTAATGACCATTTTCCTTAGACATACATGCAATGTGATACTTTGAGCCAATTGTTCAATGAGGTAGCCATAGCTTTTGAAAGTTCAAGGTGTTAGAAGAGAAGGCATTAGGTCATGTAATAGGTCATGCAAGTGATGGATATCTACAGATGAGACATGTCCTACATACTATCTGATATCTTCTATCACAGAGGCACTCAATGGATTTAACAAGTTATCTTTGTATTCAAGGCTAAATTAAAAGAAACAATGCCACGTAAACAAGACAACTTGAAGGGTATGGCCCCTCGGTCAGCTCTCTGAGGGACAGCAACAGACTGCGAGCACTTCAACAGACTCATTCAGTGCTTTGAAGCATATTGGAGCTGTTTTATTCTGGCTTTGGCAGAACATAAAGGCCATTTTTTGTAATAGCGCCATGCAACTCTAACAAAACATAGTTCATGTTTAAATCAACCACTTTCAAGGATCTGTTAGTTTTCACGTTTTCAGTCCTTGAATCCAAGTACTGTACTTTCAAGAAGCGTTAGTTAAAGTTTTATTCATTTTTATTTTAATACATCAAGTTAAACTAAATTAAAATAAGACATGGTGCCTTGGCTGGCAGTTTTTATTTTATTTTTTATTTTTACTTTTATTTCAGTTATTGTTCATTTCAAGAAATGAAAATGTTTATGGTTTTATTTATAGTTAACTAATAAACTTGTTTATAACCCCACTGTTTATCTCAATGAAACTATATAAAAAAAATCATATCTGCTCATATCATTCTTACATAACATGTGTCCTTGTCACTGTTGCGTTTAATCAATGTGCCGTTGTTTAATGCTTAAGAATTACACCTACTCCAGGTTGAAATAAAATTTTTAGTAGCAAAACTAGCTGCATGGTCTGAAACAGAAGACAGGAGGTAGAGACACAACGCATTCCTATTAAACACAACAGATGCAAGACCATTCTAGTGCACCCAGTGACAAAAGGAAGCTCCGATTACAAACTTTATTAGACATAAGGTTGCCCCCATTTCTTCCATTCTTGCTTTGCGTTTTGATAAACAAGGGTAAACAGACAGGTCAGAATGAGGCTCTGTAAAGTATGAAGGGCCTAGAATAGATTGCAAAGTGATAAGTCTAAGTAAGGTGCTTATTGAGAGAGTGCAGAACAACTGAGGGACAAGAGGTCATGACAAGTCAGAAACCTCACAAAAGGTCTTGAGTGATGCTCAAACAGATCAACACCATAAACCATAGAGCTGTTTAGAAACAGATCTGGGGCTAAGACGATTAGTTTGACCTGCTCGCCATGTTCTTTCTGTTAAGAAGGAATAATTATAAGCATCTACATGGTAACTGATGCACAGAAAAAGTAACACCGATGTAAAGTATTTGGAATATATTAACTTTTGTAAACATACAAATTAGATTTTGTAACTTACAGAATCTTATTCTTGCATTTTTTTGCTAGAAAATCCTTTTGAAGAAAGAATGGGTTTGAACATGGATGAACATGAGTTGTCCATTTGAATGACTGCTAATGAACTTTGGGAAATCATGAAAGGTCAAAGCACCAAACAAGAACAAGCAAGAGTTGCAGCTGTCTCTGCATTAGGCGAGAACAAAAGGTTGCAAGTGCAGATATTCATTGTTGACGTTACAGCTGTCTACTGACAATTTTGCTGTTCTGTGATAGGTGTACTGTTCGTGAAACATTGTTACCTTGTCTTGATCCTTAAACGCAAAGATAAACCTGTGAAATTGCCAGTGCATGCCGGTCTCTCTTTGAGGACAGAAAATTGAATAGTTTAAGAAAAGCTCATAGTGCATTATTTCTGGAATCTAACTTTCAATTAAGCAATTTTTTTTTAAAAGTAGTGTGTGGATATTCAACTATGGTTCAGATAGATTTTATATACAAGAGTGTCTACCACTATAATGCTTTACGAACTGAAAGAATTTAGCTTATGAAACTAACTATAAAATATGAAAGTGGAGGTGTACATTTCAGTATAAAACACTTTAGTAAAGATCTGATATCTTTAAAAAAAATAAGATATACATATGGTACAAAAATAGCATCATTGTGATTTAAATCCTTTTTGGTCGTGTTGCACTACCATTTCCACATGCCAAACTACTGTGACTCACACAAAGATTTTTTTCAGGCACCCAAAAAGAGCTGCACACACACAATTGACCCGGACCAAATACAGATGGTCAACGTCACACTCATTGTGCCTCTATATAAAGAGATAAGTTACAGCACAATATTGCAAGCTCACATTATTGTGCCATCTAAAGGTAAGAGCACACATCATTTAGATTAATTTGTTCATGAGGATTGAACAATAGAATAAGATGACTTATTCTAAGATGACTCAATAATGATGTTTCTTTTTTTATTGAAAGGACTTGGACTTTCTTGGGTTTGGATTTCATCTGGTAAGGCACGCTTTTATAACTTTTTGTCAACACAATGTGTACAGTATCTCTAATATTGTATGTTATAGTATATGTATTGTATAGTATATGTATATGTAGTTTTTTTCTTTTTGAATGCAATAATTTTTGTTGAAACACCAATAAATGAAGAAATATTTTTTATTTATAAATATTAAAAATCTTATTGTTTTATTTTTACATTAGATCTTCTAATTGTAAACAAGTTTTACAAGTTCTAAGTATTTTTTCATCTATGCCTCAGTCTGATTGAAAGATGGTGGATGTGATGTCAGAATTCGGGCCAGCCGCCCCGTTCTTACGAAAGTCAGACAAGGAGCGTCTGGAGGCCCAAACTCGCCCCTTCGACATGAAGAAAGAATGCTTTGTGCCCGACCCTGCGGTTGAGTTCGTCAAAGCCTCCATCACCAGTAGAGACGGTGACAAAGTCACTGTTGACACTGAATTCGGGAAGGTAAGATCTGATCTCTGCAGTGTTGTAGATTGTAGACAGAAGTAGCGAGTGACTGTCAAAACATTTTTTGTGTGTTATCCACAGACAGTCACTGTGAAGGAGATTGATGTTCACCCCCAGAATCCACCAAAGTTCGATAAAATTGAGGACATGGTGATGTTCACCTTCCTGCACGAGCCCGCAGTGCTGTTTAACCTCAAAGAGCGTTACGCAGCCTGGATGATCTACGTGAGTCGAGTCTTAAAACACTCACATGTTCTCTTTATCTTGCATGAGCAGATCTAAACCTTCTGTGAATCTCTTACAGACCTACTCTGGGCTCTTCTGTGTCACTGTGAACCCCTACAAGTTTTTGCCAGTGTACAACCAGGAAGTTGTGAATGCATATAGAGGAAAGAAACGAAATGAGGCCCCTCCACACATCTTCTCCATCTCAGACAATGCCTACCAGTACATGCTGTCAGGTGATGATCTGACTTGTACATTTTTTTGTTGATTTCTAATGCAATTTAAAATGCTAAGTTTCTTATGGTTCATTTTCTCACAGACAGAGAAAACCAGTCCGTCCTGATCACGTATGTAATACATATTATGACGTACCAAAATACTCCTCCTTTTACCAATGTTTTCTATGCTGCATTTTATCAGCCATTTAATGAACTGTTTTTATTTTAAGTGGAGAATCCGGTGCTGGAAAGACTGTGAACACTAAAAAAGTAATCCAGTACTTTGCAAGCATTGCAGCAGCATCAACTGGCAAGAAGGATCCATCAATGGAGAAAAAGGTGCTTAATTTCCAAAAATAGCTTATTATGGATAAATAAACATATATCTTCTATATAACACAGCATACAAAAATGATTACTAAATAAATGGTCTTTGTTTCTTAAATATTGAAGTCAAAAATGATCATAATTTGATACTAACTTACCATACTGCAACGCATTAACACATAAACAAAAACATTTTTGTTTTCCAAATTAGTTTTCTACTGTGACTTAGGTCTTAGGGATTATTATTATTTTTATTATTATTACAAGACTAAATAGCGTATGAAAATATGCATGGCTGTTAACTGAAAAGAAGGTACATCAAACGTTTTACACACCTATTGTTAAAATATGATTCTCAGGGTACTCTGGAGGATCAAATCATCCAGTGTAATCCTGCTCTGGAGGCTTTCGGTAACGCCAAGACCATCAGAAATGACAACTCCTCCAGATTTGTAAGTTGGGTTTTTACATTGGTGTTGTTATTCTATATTGGTTATCATGATATGTTATATGAGCGTGTTGCTTTATTCACAGGGTAAATTTATCCGTATCCACTTTGGCCACAGTGGAAAGTTAGCTTCTGCTGACATTGAGACTTGTAAGTATTGCCCAACATCATTCCAACAAATCACACATTGATTAAATGTGTAACTGTTTTGATATTCATCTATTTATCAAATCATTTAGATCTGCTGGAGAAGTCTCGTGTCACTTTTCAGCTCAAAGCTGAGAGAGACTACCACATCTTCTATCAGATTCTGTCCCAGAGAAGACCAGAACTGCTGGGTAAAATTACCCATCATGTCTATTAATATTGCCATCTCTAATTAGAAGAGTCTTTTCTGATCTATGTTGCCATTTCTCTGTAGAGATGCTGCTCATCACCAACAACCCCTATGACTACGCCTTCATCTCCCAAGGAGAAACACAAGTGGCATCTATTGATGATGGTGACGAGCTTCAAGCCACTGATGTGAGTGTTTGGTAAAACATAGGCCGTTTATAATACAAGAACAACACCCTTAACAACCTGTATGACTGCATTTCTGCTGTGGAACACCAATTGATAATGTCTTGACTGGTTTCCATACAATGAAACCATATAATGATCAGGGGCTGTCAATAAGTATGAAAAAGCACCATAAAAAGGTCCACACAACTTGTTTTTCTGAAGCCATGTGTGTTAAGGAAAATAACCTTTGTTTTCAATTTTGTCTTCCACAGAAGAAATTAAGTCATACAGGTATAGAATGACTAGAAAGAGAATAACCGATTCTCTTGGCCAGTCTATTCTTTAAAAAGAAAGACTTCTAATGTTCTTGTCAAAAAGTAGAATATGAAACATTTGCCACGATATTTTAAATGCTTTGTACATTTGTTGTAGGAAGCGTTCGATGTGTTGGGCTTCACCCAGGAAGAGCAGAACAGCATCTACAAGCTGACTGGATCCGTCATGCACTTTGGCAACATGAAGTTCAAACAGAAGCAAAGAGAGGAACAGGCCGAGGCTGATGGGACTGAGGGTCAGTATAACAGGAATCTCAGTTTCATAAAGGAAAGAAAAGTGTAAGATATGTTGTAAATAGAGTCATAGCTCTGTATTCTTTTTTAACATGTAGAAGCTGACAAAATCTCATATCTGATGGGCCTAAATTCAGCTGACCTGATCAAGGGTTTGCTCCACCCAAGAGTCAAAGTAGGAAATGAGTGGGTCACCAAGGGACAGAGTGTCCAGCAGGTAATGAATGAAGATAATAATCTAAAGAGTTTTCAGCATCATTTTCAGCATCACTTTCCAAGACAAACAAAATCTTTCATGTATCTGAAAAATCGCTTTCTAGTTGTGTGCAATGTGACAAATTCTGCAAAATACAATATTTTCTATATTAGGTGTACTACTCTATTGGTGCTCTGGCAAAGTCAGTGTATGAGAAGATGTTCCTCTGGATGGTTGTGAGAATCAACCAATCACTGGAAACCAAACAGCCTCGCCAGTACTTCATTGGTGTGCTGGACATTGCTGGATTTGAGATCTTTGATGTAAGCTGAAATCACCTGATTATGTTTATTCACAAAAAAATTCAACAAGAAGTGCAACCTGTTTGACCATTGTGATTATACGTTATATTCCATCTGCAGTCCAACACCTTTGAGCAGCTGTGCATCAATTTCACTAATGAGAAGTTGCAGCAGTTCTTCAACCACCACATGTTTGTGCTGGAGCAAGAGGAATACAAGAAGGAGGGCATTGATTGGGTGTTTATTGACTTTGGCATGGACCTGCAGGCTTGCATTGAGCTTATTGAGAAGGTGGGATAATACTATAGTGACAATTATACTGTGAGGGTAAAAATCAAATTTTTCAGTCTTAACTCACTCTGTCACTGTCATTATAGCCCATGGGTATCATGTCCATCCTTGAAGAGGAGTGCATGTTCCCCAAAGCCAGTGATGCTACATTTAAAGCTAAGCTTTATGACAATCACTTGGGGAAAAATCCAAACTTCCAGAAGCCCAGGATTGTCAAGGGTAAACCAGAGGCTCATTTTGCCCTCGTTCACTATGCTGGTACTGTGGACTACAACATTGCAAACTGGCTGGTGAAGAACAAAGACCCGCTCAATGAGACGGTTGTAGGGTTTTTCCAGAAGTCAACTCTTAAGCTGTTGAGTGTTCTGTTTGCTAATTTTGCTACTGATGACTCAGGTAAATACACACTGACGTGTGTCATGTGAAAAGATAATATTTGTACTTTTTACTGTTTAATAATAACAAAAATCATTTATTTCACAGCTGCGGACTCTGGAGGAAAGGCTGCCAAAGGCAGCAAAAAGAAGGGTTCTTCCTTCCAGACGGTGTCAGCCCTTCATAGGGTAAGGAATATTACAACACTATATTGTCTCACAAGGTTTTATTGTATATTAATATAAATACTCTGTGGCCTACCAACAGGAGAACTTGAACAAGCTGATGACCAACTTGAGGTCAACTCACCCTCACTTTGTGCGCTGCCTCATCCCCAATGAGAGCAAGACTCCTGGGGCGATGGAGAATCCTCTGGTCATGCACCAGCTGCGCTGTAACGGTGTGCTGGAGGGCATCAGGATCTGCAGGAAGGGATTCCCCAACAGGATCCTGTATGGAGATTTCAAACAACGGTTAGTATGAAGGCAAGGCAAGGCAAGTTTATTTATATAGGACACCTCATACAATGGTAATTCAAAGTGCTTTACATAGGAAAGAAATTAAAATAATCAGAAACTATAACGCCTGAATCACTAAATTCGGGGCTCCCCTGTTTAAATGGAAGAGTCAAAGAACTTCGGTTCGTGAGACACACTAGTAGCAGCTCCCTGCTTCATAGTGACCCTCCTACCCATCAATAGGGTGGAGTATTCTAACACCTTTCGCCTCTGATGGCTTCCAGTGTACCTCCAACCCCTTAATGGAGTGGAATTTTCACCAACCGTCTGCTTTCGGTAATACACCAGCCTGCATCCAAGAACCTGGTGTCCCACACTCAAGTCTGAGTGTGAGCGTAAATATCTCTCTCTTCACTCTCTCTCTTCCCAATTTTCTCAACACTTCCAAGCAGACAGCCCTTATCAAAAATAAAAATCTTAACCAAAAATAAAAGTTTACAGTTAATAAAAAGATGATACAGAGATAACATGAAATGCAATCAGTAGGACGTACAGTGGCACAGTGCTCATTCAGTAAATGAAGCGCTAAACAGATGTGTTTTGATTCCGGATTTGAATGGGACTACTGCTGGAATCTCTAATCCAACATCTAATCTCTTCTGGAAGCTTGTATGAAACAAAATGGCTGTAATGTCTTACAAAACAACTTTATGTATAAATTTTAAGTTATTGCAAGTTGCATCATTTCAACAATCTGTTTGCACAATTAAGCATTTGCTAGAAATAAATAAATATATATATATTTATATATACAAATTTAATGTGTGTTGAATTTTGTGTAGATACCGCATCCTAAATCCTGCTGCTATCCCTGAGGGACAGTTCATTGATAACAAGAAGGGTGCAGAAAAACTTCTGGGCTCCCTGGACATCGATCACGAACAGTACAAGTTAGGGCATACTAAGGTATTATTATATTAACTTTAGCCAAAACCACTTTTCCACTGTCATCCTTTTTGACCCAAAATTCTTTACTATTCAGGTCTTTTTTAAGGCTGGTCTTCTGGGTGGTCTTGAAGAGATGCGAGATGACCGTCTTGCACTTATTATAACTGGAATTCAGTCCATGTCTCGTGGTTTTCTATCAAGAGAGGAGTTCCAGAAAATTGTGGAAAGAAGGTTAGATTTGGGCTTTTCAATCTTTGAACATATTCTACAAGTTACATTTATAAAGCAATCCTGAATATTCTTTTTAATATCCACAGAGATTCTCTGCTGGTGATCCAGTGGAACGTACGTGCTTTCATGGGTGTCAAGAATTGGCCCTGGATGAAGCTCTACTTCAAGATCAAGCCTCTGTTGAAAAGTGCAGAGTCCGAGAAAGAAATGGCCAACATGAAGGAGGAATTCACCAAGTTGAAGGAAGCTTTTGCCAAATCTGAAGCCCGCAGAAAGGAGCTTGAAGAAAAGATGGTTTCTCTTATCCAAGAGAAGAACGACCTGCAGCTTTTAGCACAGTCTGTAAGTTCACATGGGACTACTCACTCTGGACTTTTCACATTTCAAACAAATCAGAAAAAAAAACAAGTTATCATTTTTTTTCATGTTGATAGGAGCAAGATAATCTTACAGATGCTGAGGAGAGATGTGAGGGTCTGATCAAGAGCAAGATCCAGCTTGAGGCCAAAGTCAAAGAAATGACTGAGAGACTGGAGGATGAAGATGAAATGAATGCTGAGCTGACTGCAAAGAAACGAAAGCTGGAGGATGAATGCTCTGAGCTCAAGAAGGACATTGATGATCTTGAGCTCACTCTGGCCAAAGTGGAGAAAGAGAAACATGCCACTGAGAACAAGGTCAGTTTTTAGCACTGAACCTGTTAGTGATGTTAGAATTGTATGTTAAGTGTCTGTTGATACAATGACACATTTCTACAGGTTAAAAACATGATAGAAGAGATGGCAGCTTTGGATGAAATCATCGCTAAGCTGACCAAGGAGAAGAAAGCTCTTCAGGAGGCCCATCAGCAAACGCTGGATGACCTCCAGAGTGAGGAAGACAAAGTCAATACACTCACCAAAGCCAAAGCCAAGCTGGAGCAACAAGTGGATGATGTAAGAGTCAGAAAACACAACACTAGAATTAAAATGAGAAACATTTAAAGTAATTACACAATTATTTTTTTGGATGAAATTTAGCTTGAAGGTTCTCTGGAACAAGAAAAGAAAATCCGCATGGATCTTGAGAGAGCTAAAAGAAAGCTTGAGGGGGACTTGAAGTTGACTCAAGAGAATGTGATGGATTTGGAAAATGATAAGCAGCAGATAGAGGAGCGACTAAAGAAGTAATATATTTCCTATTTAAAAAATACAATTTTAATAATAGTAACACTTTAAAATAAGGTTCCATTTGACTTCAGTTAACAACATAATTTAACAAATTAATAATGAAAAATATTTCTAAGCATTTATTAATCTTAGTTAATGTAGATTTAAACATTAATTACAAAATTAAAATTGATTTTAATAATTTGACTACATGTTAATTTTATGAAATGGTCCTGAGCTAACAAACAATGAAAAGTTTATTTTTCATTAATTATTGTTAACAAAGTTTAATAAATACTGTAACAAATGTAATGTTCTACGTTAGTTAATGGTGTTCAATTCACTGTCTAACGTTAACTAATGGAATCCTACTGTAAAGTGTTACCTGGCATTTTAAATCAATTATGCATGTAATAATTCATGTGTAATCTTGTTTACTTGGCAGAAAAGACTTTGAAATAAGCCAGCTCAATAGCAAGATGGAAGATGGACAAGCTTTGGAGTCCCAACTCCAGAAAAAACTGAAAGAGTTGCAGGTAAACTTTATATATATATCTTAATAAGATAGATAAGTTAGGAATTTTAACCTTAATTTTGAATTTATGCACATTACTAGGCCAGAATTGAAGAGCTTGAGGAAGAGCTGGAGGCTGAGAGAGCTGCTCGCGCCAAAGTTGAGAAACAGAGAGCTGATCTGTCCAGAGAACTGGAGGAGATCAGTGAGAGGTTGGAGGAGGCTGGTGGAGCCACTGTTGCCCAGATTGAGATGAACAAGAAACGTGAAGCTGAGTTCCAGAAACTGCGCAGAGACCTTGAAGAGGCCACTCTGCAACATGAGGCGACTGCGGCTACACTGAGGAAGAAACATGCTGACAGTGTGGCTGATCTGGGGGAGCAGATTGACAACCTCCAGAGAGTGAAGCAGAAGCTGGAGAAAGAGAAGAGTGAACTCAGACTGGAACTGGACGATGTGGTCTCCAATATGGAGCAGCTTGCCAAGGCAAAGGTGAGTGAGAGAATAAATGGTGAGAGTCTACATTGTATGTGTTGTCAGTCAAGGAAACCATTCAACTATGATACAATTTATCCTCAAGACAAACCTGGAGAAAATGTGCAGGACTCTGGAAGACCAGATGAGTGAGTACAGAGCCAAGGCTGAGGAAGGTCAGCGCACAATCAATGATTTCACCATGCAAAAAGCCAAGCTGCAAACTGAGAATGGTAAGAACACAAAATATTGTGTTATGTTACCAAACTGTACCATAATGACACTTGAAAAAAGTAAATATTTTTTAATATTGTATTTTAGGTGAACTTGCCAGACAGTTTGAGGAGAAAGACTCCCTGGTGACTCAGTTAACCAGAGGCAAACAATCCAACACTCAGCAAATTGAAGACCTCAAGAGACAGCTCGAAGAAGAAGTCAAGGTTTTTAAAATCTCATTCAATGTCTAAAATGTTTGCTAAAGACAAAAATCATTATTGTAATAAAGAACTGGCCGCAAATATTTGTTTGTTATTGTTTATCTTCAGGCTAAGAATGCCCTGGCCCATGCAGTTCAGTCTGCTCGTCATGATGCTGATCTGCTGAGGGAGCAATATGAGGAGGAGCAAGAAGCCAAGGCTGAGCTACAGCGTGGTATGTCCAAGGCAAACACTGAAGTGGCTCAGTGGAGAACCAAGTATGAAACTGATGCCATCCAGAGGACTGAGGAGCTGGAGGAAGCCAAGTATGAAACAAATAACAATTAAAAGTTTTGTCACTTTAGACATTCTCATTAGACACTTTTCTAAATAACCTGCTATAGTTTGAAACCTATTAAATACATTTAAATACAGTTTAATGAATAATGCTTCTGAAGTTCACAATATTTTGTATTTTGATTATTACAGGAAAAAGCTGACTCAGCGTCTGCAAGATGCAGAAGAAGCTGTGGAAGCTGTCAATGCTAAATGCTCCTCTCTAGAGAAGACCAAGCACAGGCTGCAGAATGAGATTGAAGATCTCATGGTGGATGTGGAGAGATCCAATGCTGCTGCTGCTGCTCTGGACAAGAAGCAAAGAAACTTTGATAAAGTAAGGAGAGAAAGTGTCATTTTACGATTAGCTGGAAAAATTAGCCATATATTTACAAAACAAATTGTACTGCTCTCATTGACCAATTGGGCCTGTTAAATTTAACCAGGTCCTGGCTGAGTGGAAGCAGAAGTATGAGGAGTCCCAAACGGAACTGGAAAGTGCCCAAAAAGAAGCTAGATCTCTGAGCACTGAACTCTTTAAATTGAAAAACTCGTATGAGGAGTCATTGGACCACCTGGAGTGCATGAAGAGAGAAAACAAGAATCTCCAAGGTAAGAGTGGTTTTACAACTCCAAACCATTACTTTAATTGATTGTATTTGTGAGCTCACATGTTATTTCTATTGCCCAGAGGAAATTTCTGACCTCACTGAGCAACTTGGTGAGAGTGGGAAGAATATTCATGAGCTGGAGAAACTACGAAAACAACTTGAGCAGGAGAAACAAGAGATACAAACTGCTCTCGAAGAGGCTGAGGTAAAAGAACATCCATTTCCCCCAAAGTTCTTATTCTGACAACTCTTTGATTTAAATCAAGCTTTTGTTTAAAGCAGTTGATCATTCCAGATTATTTTAAAGGAGGTCAACTCCCACCCCAAAACACAGGGCGAAACAAAAACTTCAAATCTCAATTATAACAAACACCCATTTTACTCTTCATAGGGTTCCCTTGAACATGAGGAAGGCAAGATACTTAGAGCTCAGCTTGAGTTCAATCAGGTCAAAGCTGATATTGAACGTAAGCTGACGGAGAAAGATGAAGAGATGGAGCAGGCCAAGAGGAACCAGCAGAGAGTGGTGGATACCCTGCAAAGCTCACTGGAATCAGAGACTCGCAGCAGGAATGAAGCTCTCAGACTGAAGAAGAAGATGGAGGGAGACCTCAATGAGATGGAGATTCAGCTCAGCCAGGCAAACAGACAGGCATCAGAAGCCCAGAAGCAACTCAAGGGTCTTCATGGACATCTCAAAGTATGACGAATCTTCAAATCAAGATTTTATGATGCTTAGGTGAAATTCAACATTGTAAAATTTGTACTTTACAGGATGCCCAACTGCAACTAGATGACGCTCTTCGTAGTAATGATGATCTCAAAGAGAACATCGCCATTGTGGAGAGACGCAACAATCTGCAGCAGGCTGAACTGGATGAGCTGAGATCCCTGGTGGAACAAACTGAGAGAGGAAGGAAACTGGCTGAGCAGGAACTGCTGGATGTCAGTGAGAGAGTTCAGCTCCTGCATTCTCAGGTATGACGCATCTGTACTAATACTATGCAAAATAAATCCTCTTAGTAAACCATATTATAAAAGACTATATGAATGTCAATATTGTCCATGTTCAGAACACCAGCCTGCTGAATCAAAAGAAGAAGCTGGAGGGGGATAATACTCAGCTTCAGACTGAGGTTGAGGAGGCAGTGCAGGAGAACAGGAATGCCGAGGAAAAAGCCAAGAAGGCCATTACTGATGCTGCCATGATGGCAGAAGAGCTGAAGAAGGAGCAGGACACCAGTGCTCATCTGGAGCGCATGAAGAAGAACATGGAGCAGACCATCAAGGACCTGCAGCACCGTCTGGATGAGGCTGAGCAGATCGCCATGAAGGGGGGCAAGAAGCAGGTCCAGAAACTGGAGGCCAGAGTAAGTTTTTAGAAACAAGTATTCAATTGTTTCTGTAAAATTGCTCATTCTAAAAAAAATTTTTGTATACTAAAATTGTTACACAACTGTTAGGTGAGAGAACTGGAAAGTGAGGTGGAGATAGAACAGAGAAAGGCCAGTGACTCCATCAAGGGGATTCGTAAATATGAGAGACGCATCAAGGAGCTCACCTACCAGGTAGGAAAAATGTTGCCTACTAACAATTTTGCCCCTGATTGATTAACATTCATGTTATTTGTTGAAAATACATAAAGTGCTTTCTTACAGTATATTGCACTAAAAACATTTTTTGCTTTGCATAGACTGAGGAAGACCGAAAGAATCTGGCTCGTTTGCAGGATCTGGTGGACAAACTCCAGCTGAAGGTCAAGTCCTACAAGAGATCTGCTGAGGTGGCGGTGAGTATTTCCCCCACTGGTGCCATCAAATGATATGACTTTTGTAGTAATTGTATCTTTTTCACAAATGCTGTTGTGTGTAATCTTTAGGAAGAACAATCCAATGCTAATCTGGGCAAGTTCCGTAAGATACAGCATGAGCTGGATGAGGCAGAGGAGAGGGCGGATATTGCTGAATCTCAGGTCAACAAGCTTAGAGCCAAGACTCGTGATACTGGATCCAATAAAGTAAGAGTAGGCACTTAAAACAAGTGATTTTGGTCACACACTCTAAAAAACTCAAGTAAATAGTAACAGTAGATCAGCACTTTTTAGTGACTTTAGGATATGAATAGCAAGTAGTTTCAACAACTACACTTAATGAAATGCATTTTGATATTTAAGTGTGTATTCAAAAATAAAATACCATCTAAATTGATTAGCGGTGTAGTTTAGTTTTGAACAGGATCAGCTTACATTTAATTTGTTTTTCCTTTTCTTTCCAACAGAAGGGGGCTGATGAAGAGTGAAAATAATAGATGGGTCTCTTCAAACATTGATTGCTGTGACAATCTCTTCTGTAGCTCTGTAGAATAAACCAAACATGAAAATGAATACCTCGTCCTCTTTTATTTAAACAATGTAGACACATTGCAATATCTCAACATGATCCTGAACACAACAGTAAATCAGTTGCCTGAATGTCCTCTATGTGCCACAGACTAGCCTGTCTAGTCTAAGATCTAATTCAAACTCAAATTGTTTCTAAATGGTCATTTGAAGTAAGTTTGAGGTCAAGATACAGGGTGTTTACCAGTTTAAGCTGTAAACCACTGACAATTACAATGTATGTTTTGACACAGCTCATCCTCAGGGAATAAAATAAAATTAAGGCACTATGATTTGAAGTACACATGGATCTATTATAATGCCTCTATCAAAGACATTAAAATAGATTTATTCAGTTTTGTCAGAGCAGTGAAATCCAGGAAAAAATTCAAGTACCATATAATAAAAGCCGACATAGACCATTAGATCTCTATGGTGAATGTGAATGTGAATTATCATTGGAATTACAGTCAATATAAATTATTGTTGTTAGACTAAGAATTTAGGCATGAAGTTCAGCTATATTCAGCAGAATCTCCTTCTCATCAATTATGTTGGCAATATATAAATTCTAAACCTAAAGTAACCTCCACAATTCTGTGAATGTGAGAACTGCAATAGTCAGTCACCGCCACTTGAGAGCAGCACCACCATTAAATATCATATGAAGCAGTTTCTAGGCGTCCATGTCAAGCAGGATGGGGCAAGATGTCAGCACTTTTTATTTCTTTAATGTTTCAGTGTAGGATTATTTTTTAACATCAATTCATGAACACACAATTTACATGTAAAGGCTTAAAAAAATCTTCTAACATTTCCACTGGTATTACTTAGAGAAAAAGGTTTTTACTACCTTTGCAACAATTTTGCAATAAGGGTCAATTTGTTAATGCATTATGTACCATGTACAACAATGTATAGATTTATATATATGTTTATGCTATATACACATTTTCATTAACTCATTAAAAGTTTTAAAAAAAAATGTATATGCAGAAATTAACATTAGCCTATATTCCTAAATTGTAAAACCATTGTTCATTGTTAGTTACTGTAAAAACTCTATTAATAAAATGTTAAAAAATAATTAAGAAAATGTTGGAAGAGCAAAAATATTTAAGTTGAACTAATATTCATGCTTGGGATAAACTGTGCTTTTGAGACCGTCTTTGATTTACAGCAGTTGTAAGCAGAAAATACTGTTGAATTTGCACATGGTTTGTCTTAAAGTATATTAAAAACACCAGATAGACACATAAACATTAAAAACTTTATTTTCATCACAGGGGGACTTTAAATGTTTTGTGTGAGTAACTACATTTTGCAGACGTGTGATAGTTGATAGACAAACAGTTGTGGAAGTTGCACTTACAGTTTAAAAAATGTGCTGACTTCGAAAAACTCTAATGGTACTCACATATTATGAGCATGTGACCATGAGTTTAATTCAATATTTATGAAATATGGTGTTTAAATTTATTTCTGTCAAATATAATACGCAACTAAAAATCAAAAAGAAAAAGCATTGCTTTGCATTACCTTCATCTGTGCTTCGGATATTTGTTGGATCTTCTCCTGTGTTTGCGTGTGCCTGAGATAGAAAAACCAGGGACAAAAGAGTGAGGGAAAAAGAAACATTTGTAGAACAGAGGTCAAAAGTCATGCCAATTTGCCTAATGGAAGCACATAATGTGTTCTTATGGAGAACAATCAAATTCAGATAGATAGAGGTACATCATGCAAAGAGTAATACCTGTTTTCTCTGATTCTCTGTCTCCATGATCCCGCTGGCTCGAACAAGGGATAAAGAAGAAATGACAAGCAACTCAATCAAAGGAGCAAAAGCATCATGTGACGTCCGTTGGACACTTGTCCAAATAAATCAAACAGAACCCCTCAGTCACCATTAATAGCCTGCTCAATGGTCATCATGCACAATGGGTCAAGTTATTGACCCTTTGGTGATCTGAGACGACAAAGGGCCTAAACAGCTGAGAATGAACCGCCTTCGTCTCAGGGAAGAGTGGATAGGAATGTTCCACCTCGTCATAGCAAGAGATGGACCTGGCAGCTAAAGGAAAAGAGTCAGGATGTGACGGTTCTCCAGATCTCCTGATAATCCAGTGTGAAGGACTTAATTAGGCCCTTGTGCAAATCACTAAAAACATGTAAGCAACATGCCACAAATAATTGCACTTTTTTAACCTTCAAGACCTGCTAATAAGAAAAAGAAGAAAAAAAACACACAGAATGAACTTATATATCCCTAAATATAGGTATTCAGATATTTATTGATTATTAGAATATATAATAGGATGTTGTATGATTTATAAACAAAGTTGCTTGCCGCACTTTAAGCGGTTAAAAACATTTACTTTTAGCTGCATGACATAAAACCGAAATTGAGATATGGCTTAGTGCAATTATTAATTTGCAAAGGCTGCGATTTAATTGTTCTTACACATTATGCACCAGTGTTTGTATTTGTGTTAGCGTTGTAATTATTAAGTTTTAAACCCCCCCCCAAAAAAATATATATATTTGTTAAATATTTTTTTCACAGTGAAATATTAAAATAGTAATATTTCTTCTTAGTTTTTATTCAGTATTTTTTATAATTTATTATAGCCATATTGATATATAATCACAAAATGTTACCTACAGCCCTACAAACAAGCACACCAAACCTGATTTTTTTTAAACATATTTTAAATGACAATTTTTGTCAGACAAATCACAATTGGATTTGTTCGCTATATTGTGCAGCAGTCTTTGTCATCTTGATCTGTCCGTTACAGAACTACTCGATAGGTAGGAGAGATGTGACAAGTACCTGCTTCTGCTCAAGATGCAGTGGCTCCAATAGATGTGTTAAATAAAGGATGGGGCTAATCAACACTTGATGAAGAAAGTGTGGCGACTTTAACACTTGTCACTTGTGCTATATTAAGAGCTTCAGCTATCAAAAGCTTAGCACGTAAAGTATTATATGTGAGAGGAGCCACTGACAGAAATAAAAAGCTTTAAAATGGTAATAAACTTGACAATGACCATTTTTCTTAGACATACAGACAATGTGATAAATTTGAGCCCATTTGTGCATTAGCATTGTTTAATTGGAGGTAGCCATAGCTTTTGAAAGTTCAAGGTGGTTCAACAATATCTCAAGCATGGCACAGAGGAGGGATTAGGTCATGTAATAGATCATGTAACTTATGTAGTACGAGTTCATGCAAGTGATGGACATGTCCTACATACTATCTGATCTCTTCTATCACAGAGGCACTCAAAGGAATTTAACAGGTTATCTTTGTCCTCAAGGCTAAAGAAAAGAAACAATGCCACGTAAACAAGACAACTTGAAGGGTATGGCCCCCTCGGTCAGCTCTCTGAGGGACAGCAACAGACTGCGAGCACTTCAACAGAGTCGTTCAGTGCTTTGAAGCATATTGGGGCTATACGTCAAGCTTTTAGCCTGACGTAAATTTATGTTTCACTTGTCCATGCACAAAAGTCACTTGTCCGGGTAAAGATTTATAATTTTATCTAGGGCTGCACGATTTGGGGAAAATGTCATATTGATTATTGAGGTCAATATTGCGGTTGTGATATGCGTTTGCGATATGATAAACAAATGGTTTCATGAGCCAACTTGTTTGGTTCTAAACCAAATGCACACACAGATTAGTGATAATTCTGAAATTAGCAATAACAACTAAATGATTGATAACACCTATAATGATCAATAAGCCATTGATGTCTGGATAAAAATTAACTGTCTAACAGATAAGACATACAGAAATTGAATAAAGTTATCGAACAGTCTGTGCTGCATAAATTATATATAGACTATTCCTTATTAAAGCTACACAAGTTCTTTAGTCAAGAGCAGTGAGTAATTTTCTCTGTTCCCTTTGTTCTTTCATTAACTTTACTGACTGAACGCTTTATTGGTAGCTGGCCCTTTAAGAGCAGCCGCTGTGGACAGAGACGGGGATCTCACACGCGCCTCATTCTCTCACGAGTCACACAACTCTTTATGTCCATCATAAGACTGCTCTTATGTTATGAAGATACTACTACAAATGACATTTTGGCTTAATTGTGTGTGTTGTTGATGTTCGTTCAAGCGCGAAAGAGAACTTCTGGCGCACGGTCTGTGCATGCGCATTATACTGGCGCGCGTCTTTCTGTGAGTCACATTCAGGACATTCACAGGCAGCGCGAAAAATGTGTTCGTTTCAAATCGGTAAAATTAAATCTGTAAAATAGACGTAACGAGTGGCACATAACATGAAGTAATAGGGGTGGGCGATATGACCAAAATTGTGTTTCACGATATGACTAATTTTATTTCACGGTAACGATATATTTCACGATATAGTTATGTATATAGTTATCTTCAAAAAAAAAAAAAAAAAAATCGACAAAAAAGGGCTTTGTATAATAAATAAACCCAAATACTTTAGAAATGAAAAGTATGTCACCTTGTTTTATTTTTATTTTATTTGGCAAATTATTTATTTGGTAAGCTATTTTTATATCAAAATATAGTAAACAAAAAACACTCATAAACTTTTAGATGAACTTCCCACAACAGATTGATATTAAATACAACTCATAGGTGCATTTCAACTTTAAATAATTTTTCAATCTCATGCATTGCTTTACCACATGTGCTTATTATACTGCGTTTTTAACGGAGAAGGGTATTCCTGCACCACCGGAGACTGCACACACTGTTGTTTTAACGGGCTTGTTTTGCTCTTTTTGTTATATCTGGCAACCCGTCAGTTCAGAAGTGACAAGAAGGAGAGCAGCAATATGAAAACCAAACCGCAGCTACTGTTAGTGTTGACTAAGTAGTTTAAATTATACACACCTTATAACAGTGCGTCGAACATCGAGCGCTCCCTCTCAGTGCATGTGCACGCGCGCGTCTTTTACATCAACAAAATGCGATCGATTTATTTGAGAGTGAAGTTGTAATCACGGATCGAATCAAA